TATTTTACAGTTCAGGACATTTTTTTAAAAAAAAAGTTTCGCCACAATGGCTTCTTCACCCGGTATTAGGCGGGAAGAAGTCATCGTGACAAAATGTTTCCTTTAACCCTTTCGGGGCCCTTTCCCGTAGATTAGGGCCCTTTTATGGTGAGGGGCCCAAAAAACCGTAGATTACGCCATGAGCTCGCTCACTCTGAAAAGCTGTAAAGTGGTAAATATGGGCCTAGATTTAAAGGGGAATCATCAAATGGGGTTTATGTTTTGCACCCTTTAAAAACAGATCCTTCAGCACACTGTTTTATAAGGAAAAAAAAAAAAAAATGAAATCTTTATTTTTCAAATTAAAAACAGAAACTTTGCAGTGTTTTTTCTTTTATTTTTTTATACTGTATTTGCGTTTTTCTTGGTCTCATTTAAATAGAAGGGAAAAGACATTTACAGAAATAAGTTTGTTTTTGGGGGGTTTTTAGCAAGGGGAAATTTGGCCCTTAAAAAATGAGTTTCAAATTTGTGGAAATTTTAAATTTTTTTGCCGATATTAAAAGGTAAAAAAAACCCCCTTCACCTTTAAAAGTCAGCGGGTGGGTCTAATATACTTCCCCAAATATGGTGATGATTTTTAATACAATTTTTACAGTATTGCATAAAAGAAAATTTTTTTCTATTTTTTTTTGTGAAAAAAAATTTAAATTGTGTGAATAAAAAATCAAAATGGAATTTATTTGTAAAGCCTAAAAACATAACTAATGAACAGGGGGAAAAAAGGGTTTGTTTAGTGCCGGGAATGCCTACATTGTTTTTTCCCCGGGAAACCCCTTTTTTTTAAAATTGGGAAATATTTTGAATTTTGGGTTTTTAAATTGGCCAAATTAACAATTTCCGGATCACTTTTTTTTGTAGTTTGAAACATTTGACTTGGCGATTTCTTGTGCTCAATCGATAAATAGAAAAATTTACAAAGTGGAAATAGCTAAGAATTTGGGTTTTGTTTGGGAAAAAAAAAATTTTGGGCCCTAAAGGGGGTCAAAGTGGGAAAAAAATCGCCGATTCGTAAATATCGCTGCCCAAAATCAAAATTCCGAGGGGGCAAAATTTCTTTTAAATTTTTTCCACCAAATTTCGACTTTTTTTTTTTTACCTTCACAAAAAGATTCTCTCCCGATTTCATAAAAAAAAAAATAAAAAATTTTTTTTTTTTTTTTAACTTTTTGGCCACTGGGGGCGTGACCCCCAATTTGGGCCTTGGCCCCTTGAAAGGGTTAAAAAATGTCCTGGGAAATGAAATAAGTGTCTTTTTTGTACACTTTGATAATTCTGTTTTTTCTCATGTGCAAAAAACCCTTGGGGAGTGGGAAAATTTGGGTTGGGTAAAAACATGAGTGAGAGGGGTTTGGAAATTTAGTGGGACTTGCAAAGGGTAAAAAGGGAATTTTCAAAGTTATTTCTTGGGGTTTGCATTTTAAAATTGGGGGTTGGGCAAATATTTTTTTAGTGTGATTGATTTTGAAGGACCTGCCTAAATATGGGGCCCCAAAAAGGCCCCCACTGCAGTGTTCCTTCTTTCTTTTGGGTTTTTAAAAACCCTATTAGGGGGATGCTCCAAATCATCAAAAACCTTTGGGTTTTAGAGGAAAATTTTACCCGGGCTTTCTTCACGGGTACTACAGCAACCCATCCCTTTGGGTAGGCCAAAATCCACTTTGGGGGGAAACCCCCCTACCCGTTTACATGCCCTCCTCGGTAATGTCCCTTTTCCACTGCACCTATAAAATGCAAAGGGGGGTGGTGGGGGGGAAGGCAGTTTTGGGTGGTGGGGGAAAAGGGATGTGGGGGGATTGGGGGAAAGGGAATGGGGGGGGAAAGGGGGGGCAGTGTTGGGGGGGGGGAAGGCAGTGGGATTGGGGAAGGGGGAAAGGGGAGTGGGGGTTTTTTGTAAAACAAAAACTAGTGGCTGGCTGGCCCAAACCCGGCTGGGTTCTTTCTGTCTCACAGGTAAACATAAATACAGTTATACCCTAGTTAAATTCCCAAGAAAAAACCCCCAAAAAACCCCCCACAAATTTCTTTTACCGTAAAAAATCATGACTAGCCTAAATATGTACGGACTTTTTCCCCGGACCCGTGACTACTGTGTGTGGGGTTTTAAAACCTGTTGGTTCAGGAGAGGCTCTCTCGGGGAGGAGGAGAAGACAAGCAGAGAAAGAAAGAGGGGAAAAAGCAGAGACAGAAAGAGAGACAAAATAACAGAAAAAAACAGAAAAAACAGAGAAGATATATAGGTTTCCCTCCCTTTATCCGAAATTCTGAAATTCAAAAAATTTTCCAAAAAACCCAAAATTTTTTCTTTGGGGTTGGAGTGTCAGGCATCTCTTCAAAACTCCCAACCCCTGCCTGTGGTGGTGTGATGTGGTGGTGCCAAAAACTGGGCAGCCGAAATGGCAAACTTTAGTTTGTATCTCAGCGCTTTTTTAGTGTTAAAATGTGCCATCTGCCCGTTCGCTGAAAATTTTTTTTTTTGCTTTTTTTTTTTTGTGGGGCTTTAAATTACTTTTTTTGAAAATGAAAAAAAAGGGCTGCAGTACGCTACGGGGGAAACAGTTAAAAAAAAAGAAAAAGGAAACTCTAATGTTATCAAAAAAGCAAAAAAAGTAGAGGTTAAAATGGCCCGAAAACTTTTATATTTGGTGTTTAAATTGGGAGGTCTTACTGAAAATATGGTGTTTGAACACCATGTTTATCGGGCGGGAAAGGGGTTTAAAAAGTAAAAGGGAAATTTTTTTGGGCTTTCTGAATTTTTTTTAATTTTAGGGAAAGAGGGTGGGGTCAAAGGGGAGCAACCCCATAATCAACATTAACACGGGGCAAAAAAGTTTGAACCCCTCCATAAGTTGGATAAATAAGACTAAAATCAACTATTTGGGTTTTTTTAGGGGGTAATATATTGGGTAAATGAAAAAGGGGGTAATTATAACCCCGGGAAAATGATTCTCAAATGATTGCAGACAGGGGTTTTTTTTAAAGCTTCCTCAAGGGTTTGGGGCTTTCTTATTAAATAGTTTCTGTCTACCCAATCCTCTTTTAAATGAGTAAAAAGCCCTAATTCTTTTCTCATTTAAATGCAAAAGTTGTTCAAGGGGCCGCCCTTTAAATTTATCACACATTTTTTACCCTTTGTCTATGGGGGACTTTTTTTACCTGTGTTCACAATGTCATCATCATTATCATCACTACTATTCCCCTTGGGTTTTTTTGTATATTTAAAAACCATTTCTGCAATTTTACCTGTCACTCAAAGAAAGCACAACGGTGTATCGTTGTCAATTTCTGTAGTAATAAAAATGAAATAATAATAATAAGTGTCTTAATTTTTTTCCCTTTTTGGTTTTTTCTTTTGTAAGTAGTTACATTCTATTACTTCAAAACAATTATTTGGTTTGCTTTGCTCATATCATGTGTTTATAATTTAAAAACTTATCCTTCCTTCTTTTCCATTGAAAACTCCTTTTTATATGTTAAATTTTTTTTTTGTTTTCCCTATATACCAAGTTTCTTTTTTTTATGGCCCTTTTTAAAACCTTTAATTTTTTTCTTAGTTTCTTTCCTTTTTTTAAAATTAAATTTTTTTGAAAAAATTTTTTTTTTATTGTTCACACTTCCTTTATATAATGTTTCCCCTGGGGATTTACTTTTTTAAAAAATCTAGTTGTTTTTGCCCGTTTTTCTTTTTCTTTTCCCTTAAGTAAAAAATTAAACAGTATGTACGTATTTTTAAAAAAAAAAAAAACACTTTCTAATTGGGTTTTAAAAAGTTTTTTTTGAAAATTTTTTGCTTGTGGGGGAAATTTTAATATGTATTTTTCCTTTTATCATTCATGCTGTGTCAAATTTATGTTCTGTTTCATTGTGGAATTGATTTATTACATTTAAGAACCTAGCTGAACATTTGTTGGGGGAGTTTTTTGGCCTTTGGTTAGTTTAGGGCATTTTTTTTATATATTTAAAAAGGTTAATGACTTCCAACAACTAAAGGGAAAAGGAAAATGAATGCAAACGCTTAGGACACCCTTTTCGATCACATTTCAGTACTGGTTTTTCTCTTATTGTGAATCCATTGTTTTAAACCCTTTTATACTTTTCTAATTAATATTTTTTATCTTTGTTTTTGAAACTCTGTAAGTAGAGTCCTCACATTTGTGTATTTATATTTTTTTTTTATTTTTTTGTAGCTTGAAGTGATTTTTTTCCAAAATTTTTCCCAAACCATCTTTCTTTCCTCAGTGTCTCTTCAGCAGCCCCCCAGTAAGCCTTTCATTAAAATGGGCCTCTATGTTCTGGTCCCCCCCCCACCCCCCCCACTTATTTCAGGCGGGGATGTTTTAGGCACCACTGCAAATTTAAAAAATTTTTTTAAAGTCCCAAAAACCTTTTTTTACTTTTTAAGGCAATAAAAGCCGATATATCAATTTAAAAAGTGAGCAATAAAGTTTGGCCCCCAAAAAAGGCCCTATTTCGGTGCACATATTACTTACCTTAAAATTTTTTTCCCTTTGCTTATAGTGAGTCTAAATAAAAAGAAAGAATGGGTATAATTTAAAACCTGGGGATTATAAATGGCTGAAAAACAAATACTGTTAAAAAGGGCTCGCCTGTAAAGGACTTTTAAAAAATGGGGAAAAAAACTGCTGGGTCATTCAAAATTTTGTAACAGAACAAAGCTATTAGTTACAGGTTGCCCTTTTTTGTTACAATCACAGGCCAAAAAAAAAATTTCCCTCTTACCCCCGGTTTCTTTTCGTTTGGAAAGTCACTTTTGTTGTCCCAGTTTTTCCCCCCCCAAATTTTCTCCCTTTTAAAGGGAAAATTTTGCTTTCGGTTTTTAAATCCCTTCCCCGAAACCAGCTCAAAACCCCATCTGCCCCAAAATCTGGGGTCAAATTTTTCCCCATTTAAATTAAATTTAAATGCTGTTAAAATTTGTTCCAGCGGAAATTTCCTGCTTTTCAGGGGGCAGGGCAAAATACAGTGGTACCTCAAGTTTCAAACAGCTCCCAACTCTAACAATTGTGTAAGTGTATTTTTGTAAGTGCTTTTGTAAGTTTATTTTGGGGGTCTGAAACAGACTAATCTAATTTACATTATTCCTTATGGGAACAAATTCGTTCGGTATCGGCACTCAAACAGTCTTCTGGAACATATTAAGTTCGTAACTCGAGGTATACCACTGTACAGTGGACCCCTGGATAATGTAATTAATCCGTTCCAGAGAGAATGTCTTATACTGAATCTGACTTAATCCGAATTAATTTTCCCCATAAGAAATAATGGAAATCCAATTAATCTGTTCCAAACACCCAAAAGTATTAACCCTTTCAGGGTCCGTCCCGTAGATCTACGGCTTTACGTTCAGGGTCCAAACCGTAGATCTACGCCAAAATTCTAGCGCCCTCAAATTTAGCATGAGAAGGCTGGTAGGCCTACATCTAAGAGAATGGGTCTGGGTGGTCAGTGTGCACACCATAGAAAAAATCTGGACGCCCACATGGCATTGTGGGAACGCCGGCAAAGTAGCTTTGTTCATAGTGCCTGGCGGCAAGATGCTCTCACTCCCCACTCACTCTCTGGGCGAATTCTGACTCTCCTCTTCACAACTTACAGTTCTAAGACTGATGGAAGTGGAGCTGAAGACGAATTCTATGGTTTTGAACCATATGGTACCATTGTGCCATATGGTACAATGGTACCATATGGTACAATGGTGCCATGTCATACAATGGTATCATGGTACAATGGTATATGGTACAATGGTACCATATGGTACAATGGTGCCATGTCATACAATGGTATCATGGTACAATGGTATATGGTACAATGGTACCATATGGTACAATGTATGTATAGTACATTGTACCATATAGTACATTGTACCATATAGTACATTGTACCATATGGTACAGGGTACAGGGACCCTAATGGAAATAAATCTGTCTGACTTTTTTGGGTTATCCTAGGTTCTCCAAACATATGCTGCTAAGTATGATATTCTATGTAACTTTATTTGTGTATACTAAATAAACTTAACTTATGATGCCACATGCACTTGAGTAAGTTTATTCAGGTGTACAGAAATACAATTACATAGATTATCATACATAGTAGCATATGTATAAAATCCTAGGATAACGCAAAAAAGTCAGGGTGACTTATTTCTATAATTATCCCTGTATCTGTACCATATGGTACACTGTACCATATGGTACCCTGTACCATATGGTACCCTGTACCATATGGTACCCTGTACCATATGGTAACCTGCACCATATTGTACCCTGCACCATATTGTACCCTGCACCATATGGTACCCTGTACCATATGGTACCCTGTACCATATGGTACCCTGCACCATATGTTATCCTGTACTGCATGGTACCCTTTACCATATAGTACAATGTATCATATGGTACCCTGTAACATATACCGTGTACCTTATGGTCAATAGGTGTTGGTGGCATGAGACACCAGCCAAGACTGAGTGAGTGGTGACACAAGCTAGCTACTGACTCCACAGTTTCCGAGACAAAGTGCTTTGTCATCCACCTCAAGGAACATGTAAAGTTCCTGTACACTTGTAAATATATAATAGAACATTACTAATATACAACATTTTTGCATATTTTTGTTGTAAATAATTATTGTAACCAAAATAATAATGAAAATATTAGTGTGTTGAATACAATAGTACCATATGGTACAATGAGCCATATGGTATCATTGTACTGTATGGTACAATGTACCATATGGTACTGTTGCATCATATGGTACCATAAGGTACCATTGCACCATATGGTACCATTGTATCATATGATACCATTGTACCAAATGGAGCCATTCTACCATGTGGTACCATTGTATCATGTACCATTGTGCCATATTGTACCATATGGTACCATTGTATTATATGATGCTATTGTACCATATGGTACCATTGCACCCTATGGTACCATTGCACCCTATGGCACCATTGTACCATATGGTACTATATGGTACCATTGTACCAAATGGTGCCATTCTACCATGTGGTACCATTGTATCATGGCACCATTGTATCATGTGCCATTGTACCATATGGTACCGTTGTATTCAACACAATAACCGCACTAATATTTTCATCATTTTGTTTACAATAAACTTGTAAACAAGTTTTGTAAGCAATATAATGATAAACAAATTAGTGCAGTTATTGTGTTGAATACAATGAGTGTACACTTATACAATATACATTATACTGGTCTCACAGGCCACAAATGTTATTAGAAAAAGAAAAAAAAAATAGAAAAGAAAAAAGTATAAAAAAACATAAAATAAAAAAATGGGATTAAAAGAAAAAAGTATAAAAAAACATAAAATAAAAAAATGGGATTTTGCGGAAGTCACTGATGTTGCCGCCACCCGGTCATTTTGGGTCAACTTCCCACCGCTGTATCTCAGTAAGTACTGATCAGAAAAAACTTTTTTTTTGTCTTATTACCTTCACAAAAATATACTCTTTAATTCTGTAAGAAAAAATAATTTTTTTTTTTTTTTTTTTTTTTTTTTTCAAAATTTCTTGGACACTGGAGCACCACTTCAGAATTTTGGCCTTGGACCCTGAAGGGGTTAAACAAAATAATTTTTTTACATGAAATATACATTTCCCTACACAGAAAGCAATGAGACATGCAGAGTAAAACATTACTAAAATGACACTTACCTTTATTGAAGACTTATTGATGAGTGATGAGACGGGAGGAGGGGAGAGGATGGAGGTGTACAATTGTTTGGAAGGGGAACCCCTTTCTGGGGTTACTTCCCTTCTTTGTTTTTTAATGCCACTAGGACCAGCTTGAGAGTCACTGCACACCTGTGGCACTAAATATCTGTCTAGAGAGCTCTGTTTCTGGCATCTCTCTAAGATTTCCCTAAAATGGGACACAACATTGTCATTGTAGATGTTGCCAGCATGGCCTACAACAGCTGTGTCAGGGTGATGTTCATCCATAAATGTTTGCACATAAGAAAGCAGGAACACTGCAGCAGGCCTGTTGGCCCATACTAGGCAGGTCCTTCACAAACCATCCCACTAACAGAATCGTATTTCCCCAACCCAACTGTCCATGCTTCCCAAGCAATAAGCTTTGATAATTCTATTCACTCATGGGCAAGTCCCACTCCCTCAAATTATGTGTGTGGGGAAGTACCCTGCCTGGTGTGTGGGGAAGTACCCTGGCCGGTGTGTGGGGAAGTACCCTGGATGGTGTACCACCCTCTTCCACCACCACTTTCATATCTTTCTACAAACTTTTTCTTGAACTCTATAGTGTTTCTCACCCTCTTTAGCAAAGGGCTGGCAATAGAAGCTTTCTTTTGGGCCCATGGTGGCTTATTTAGCAGTTACAAGCACTAAAAACAATGAAATAATACAAAATGTATTGCATGTATGCATGGAATCATCCTCACTGACTGGTAAACAATGGCACAATAGCTGTACATGGAGTGTCCGGGCCGCTCATGGCACACGGACACGTTCGGGACGAATGACTTTTGCTGAATTCAGAGCCAATATTCTGATAATTACTTAATCCAATGACATCTTAATCTGGGGGTCCACTGTATGTTTCAATTTGAGCAAGACTCTCTCTCTCTCATAAATATATTTACTTACCTAGATAACTTGTTCCTGATCAATTATGCATTATTTCAGTACACGTGCTCCTCGACTTATGACGGGGTTACGTTCCAACGAACGCATCATAAGATGAATATGATGTGCTAAATAAATAAGTACAGTGGACCCCCAGTTATTGGCCGTAATCCGTTCCAGAAGGTCGGCCAATAACTGAAATGGCCGAAAACCGAATTGACATTTCCCATAAGAATTAATGGAAATACAATTAATCCGTTCCAGACAAAAATATTCACAATTTTTTTTTTTTTTTTTTTAACAATTATGTATTACATACCTTCATTGAAGGCTAATGCTGGCTTCTGGAAGATAGGGAAGAGGAAAGAGGGAAGAGTTAGTGTTTGGAAGGGGGAATCCCCTTCCATAAAGACTTTAAATAGAAAAGCCTTCTCTGGGGGATACTTCCCTTCTTTGTCTATTAATGCCACTAGGACCAGCTTGAGAGTCACTGAACCCCTGTCTCACAAAATTACTGTCCAGAGTGCCCTGTTTCTGGCATCTCTTTAAGATTTCCCTGAAGCGGGACAGGATTTTGTCACTAAACATGTTGCAGATATGGCTTGTTTCAGCTTTGTCAGGGTGGTATTTCTCTACAAAAGCTTGCACCCTAGTCCACATTGCACACACCTCTTTAATCTCTGAAGAAGGCACCTCCTTCACTCTCTCTTCCTCCTCCTCCTCCTCTGAAGCAATTTCCTCAGCTGCAGTCTGTTGCTGTTGAAGTTGAAGCTCTTGCAGCTCTTCAGTGGTTAGCTTTTCCTTGTGGTCCTCCACTAACTCTTCCACATCCTTGCCACTCACCTCCAACCCCAGGGACTTCCCCAGTGCCACAATAGAGTCCACATGGTCAGCAGGGTCAGGGGTCAGGGTCAAATCCTTCAAAATCCCTCTCTTGGACATAATTTGGTCACAGTTTTCTCCAAGCAGAGTTCAAAGTCCTGGAAGTCACTCCCTCCCAAGCCTTACCTATAAGGCTTATGCAGTGGAGGATAGTGAAGTGATTCCTCCAGAACTCTCTTAGGGTCAACTGAGTGTATGAGGTCACTTCAAAGCACTTTTGAAACACTGCTTTTGTGTAAAATTTTTTGAAGTTAAAAATGACCTGCTGGTTCATGGGCTGGAGGAGAGGAGTGGTGTGAGGAGGCAAGAACTTCACTTTTATAAAATTGAAGTCCCTAAACACTTGGTCTTCCAAGTTTGGAGGATGTGCAGGAGCATTGTCCAATAGCAGGAGGCACTTGAGTGGCAATTTCTTTTCCAGGAGGTATTTTTTCACACTTGGAACAAACACATCGTTAACCCACTCTTCGAAAATTTGCCTTGTGACCGATGCATATGATTAGCTT